ATCGTTTGAATTGTGGTCAGGTCCTTCTAGAACTTCATTCATAAAAAGAAAAAACTTCATCGGTAACATCAATAAATACCGTGCAAGAGCTTTTTGACATCAATTTTTTTGAGGTCTCTGTGATTGACTGTTGTCCTGTGCGAACTTTGCAAACGACTCATTTTCTTTTTGGTATGTCAGGAACCGAGCTTCACTTATTTTAAAAGAACGCTTTTTCTTTAAAATGTTCTGCGATACCGACTTATAATCAAATTAATGTATTCCGTCTTGTTCCCAAACATTCAGTTCCATTGTTTTTTAAAATGTAATATTCCCTCGGCACTAAAATGTCTTTTCGTCTTCTATATTGTTTTTAAACTCTGTCAAAAACCCTATATGCGGGCATGAAGCTGTGATCTCTTATGGAAAAAATGTATTTCCTTAAACACTTTAGACTTTTCCAAAAAGCTGATAAGAACAGTCGCCATTATACTGTTCTTGTTCTGGAAGCTACAAGAGTTTGAAAATAACTCTAAAATCATCTGATCCTTGCCTTTATCAGACAATGTACTTTCAAACTTGTTAATATAATGTAACAGTCCAGAGGCTGCCTGCGTTTTTAACCAATCATAGAAGCTGGCCCAGCTTCATTATGATCCTCTTTATGAATTATGAACTTTCTTGCATTTTTCGTGAGGTGCACATTTTTAGTATATTGACTACTAATGTCATCCATAAAAGAAAAAAACACGTGGCGAGGAGAAGTACTGATCTGTATATTACCTCAAACTGCAGAACGTATGTAAGCTGATCCAGTTTTCAATTAGCCCGTATAGTTAAAGAGGTTTAAAAAACCGCAAAGATTTGTCTATACTGTATCTCTTGAATCAGACATTGAATTTCTATCCGAAATAGTTTTTAAAAAAGGGTCCTCAATTTTAAATCCTCTAATTTGCCCCACAATTCCATTTAAAAAATTATAGTGGTGGGTAACTTTTTTAATAAACTAATGCATATTTGCATCTTCTATGAACGATCTATGAATATTGTCGTCCAAGTTATAAAAATATCGACAAAATTACGGAAATTCTGATTTGTTGCAAAGGTAAACCGTTGGTTCTGTACGTATCTTATTTTAAGGGTTTCCAGTTAAACAAAATCACTAAATAAAAACTAAAATATTTAATCATTATTTAACTATGAATATGATGAATTAGGGAATTGGGGCAGATAAGATTATCAAGAATGATATCTAAAGTTGAGGCAGGGGTTTATTTTGTGATTAAAATTTATATTTTTAGGAGTTTTTTTTTTCAAGGAAAGTGGACCTTTTTTGCTTAGAAATGAATTGTGATTACACTGAGAAAAAGTTAATACAATCAGTTGGGTATATGGTAAGTGGGGCTATCTATCAAAATATTAAAAATGATGATTACATGATTAGACCAGCGTCTGATGACGCATATATCAAATTTGTTACAAATCGATTTAGTAGTTTTCGAGAAATAATAAATATACTGTTATTTTTATGAATCATTTACTCACTTTCTCTTTTATTCGCAATAAGAATCACAGAAAGAAGTAGGTACCAAATTAATGGTTTAATATTTTTAATTAATTTAATAATTTTATAATAAAAATTTCGAGGGGCAAATCACTCCCGCAATACGTGTACAAAATGTCCGCAATCCCATTGAAAATCGCCGCAGTCTCATCAAAATCAGTGACAATCGCTAAGAAATCGCCGCAGTCGTTCCGAATTCGCTCGCAGTCGTTCCGAATTCCCTTGCAGTCCCCCGAATTCTCTAGCAGTCACTGAGCAATAACTAGCAATCGTTAAAAATCGCGCGCAGTAAGGTGACATTAACCAATTAGCCATTGTTGATGTAGGGTGCTTTGATTAAGCCATCTAAACCATTTTATGTAAAGAAATTGCAGTTTACATTTATCGAAAGGGTCCTTCCGTGCATTTTGAGGCAAGAACTATTAAGTTAAATTTACATTTTGGAATTTGAAGGTTTTTTTAGGATAAATTTAGACACTTTACAAGGTGGTCGAAAATTGTCCCTTTTCATCTAGTTTTTTTTTAATGTATAACAAAATTGTTGGTATTTTATGGGGGTTGGGGTGATACACGTTTTAATTAGGGTTTTAAATTTATTTTTACTTTCCTATCTGTTTACAGATAAGGAAAGTATAGGAATCATGATTTTTTTCGACCTCGAATTTTCGTCGGTTTTTTATGTTTTGGGGTATCCTGAATCTGTTTTGACTATTTTCGCGATGATGTCTGTGTGTGTGTGTCTGTATCCTCGATAACTCATGAACGGATACAAAGAAAAACACCAAATTTTAAACTTAAGCTTTATTCCGGCGTCCAATTAGCTGATTAGATTTTGGGCAGAGTCGGAACATTTGGAGGGTACTTTATAGTCATTATTTTTATATTTTATGGAATATATCTGTTATTTACGCTTGGAGAAGAAATTTTTTCAAATAAAAGTTACTTACAATATTATTATCTATAACAAAATGTAAAAAAAAAATATTTTTTTATAAAAATTGTTCAAATAAAAGTTGTTTGTAATATACTTAATTCTCTATAATTTTTGCCCTATACATAATTTCTCTAAAATGGACCGTATTCGAGATATTTAAGAAAATGTGTAAATTTCGAATTTTAAAGAAAAATCAAAAACGGATAAAGTAAAAAACATTAAATTTTAAACTTAAGTTTCCATATATGATGTAGATAATGAAAAGAGCATTTTTTATGGATTGGAAGATCTTAATATAAAGGATTTTCGAAATTGCTACACAGAAAGTGATTCTGATACCTCATTTTTAAACATAATTGTGAACAACAAAAAAATGAAGGTAAAAAATCAGCTCTTTGTTGGTTATTTTCCACTGAAGACGGGCGCTTGTCAACTGACAGATTATCTCGTGTAAAAGGAACATCCTCAGCAGTACTAAATAACAAAAAAAAAACAAGTCCAGAAAAAACACAGCTAAAATACCAAATAACTACAATGACGAAAGATGTAACAGAAAGTGAAAAAACTACCGGTGAAAACACTTTGCTCCAGAAAAATATCAATGGCATTTTAATTAGGAACGAACAATATTACGCAATTCTTTACGAGTCGTAGTACATAGGTCGGATTGTTCAAATAATTGATGAAACCACTAGTAAAATAAAAATTTTAAAATCTGAATTTGAAGAATAGTTATGGCCAAAAAAAGACGACATTCAAATTGTTAAAAATAAATTAATATTTTACGGACCCATCAATTCAATTGGATCTGGTCCATTTAAACTAGAAACAAACATCAATAAAATTTGTAAACGTCTAAAAAATCACTTTTATGAAATTTTTAAATAAAAAACCTCCAATTACTTAATTACTTAACTTGTTTCATTTACCTGTACCTATTTGTTCATTTAGGCATATCAAAGATATCTAATAATGGAGGCATATAAGTACCTACATAGAAGTTTATATTTCGGGTATCACATCAATTAAAACTGATCTTTTGAATGAATAAAAAACGTACAAAAAGTTGATTTATTGATAAATTTGTCGTACACACTTAGTTTTAAATCAATGCATTGTATTTAGCACCTATACATGCGCTATACAAAATTTAGTTTTTCTGATGAAACACCTAGCTAATGCTTTTTTTACTGGAAACCAACTGGTAAGCCTTACAATATCGTAGAAATCCTTCGGAATGCGTGCAATTTTGCAATAATACTGACAATCCATACGTACGAGTAAATCGCCGCAATCAATAGGGAAATTGCCGCAATCAATAGAGAAATCGTTGCAGTCAATACATAAATCACCGCAGTCACGGGAAATCTGTCGGAAGTCATGTGGAAATCACCGCAGTCATCCAGAAATCGCCGCAGTCATCTAGAAATCGCCGCAGTCATCCAGAAATCGCCATATGATTGCGGAAATCGTATGAATTCGGCAATACATGTACAATTTTACAAAGAGTGATTTGCCCCTCGAAAAATTTATAGGAAATATTGTTTGCCACAATTTTTATAGAACTTTAGAATATAAGATACTTGTGATTGATTAAATAAATTTATTGATAATTATGTATTGATATATAAAATTAATGGATAGTGAAATTACATGATTTCATATACTTAAAAATGTTATTGTCAAAAATTGCTTTGAGCAAATCTGTGGTTTCTGAAAAATTAATTTACAAAAATCAATCTTTTTTGAAGGGATGTTTTGGGAAATTGATTATCACGTTCTATTTGGTCAGTAAGAAAAAAAAGTATTTTAAGTTGATGTGAAGTTTGATTTATGAAAGGAAAATGTATAATAAAACTATTGAAAGTTTTAACTGGTTGGAAAGGTTAAATAAATTATGTAAAAAGAAAAAAGGGGTAAAATTAATTTTAGTCATGTAAATTATAAAATAAATGAAGGACCAGAATATAGCAGGAGGATAGTCAATTGCAGTTATAATGAACTAGCTTAAGTACTGAAGGAGTAGCAGACAAAGCAGAGCAAGTAAAAATGTAGTTGTAGAAAAATATAAGAAAACAAGGAATAGAAGATAAGATGAAGAAAAGTCTATTGCTATCAATTGTTTAAGTTAATTTATTTTACATAATAATAGTTATAGATAAATAATATATTTTAAAAAGTGAGCCTACTCCATAACTTTCGGACATCTTGTATAATATGAAGTTTTAAACTAATATTTAACTTGTTTTGACTGCAATGTACTTACCGTATAGTCTCCACAATTTCAATAGCTCCATCGTGTTTGTCCTGTAACAAATAAAATTCGTTATTTAAAATTATAAAGTAGTTTTTTTAAGAAATCATAAGGCATCAGAAATAATTCATAAAACATTTTATTTATGCAATACATTTAAAAAAATCAACTAAAGAATAAAAAGATTCTTTCACTAAACAAAATACAAGACAAATTAAATAAATAAAATTTAGTGGGTATAACTTTTCCGGATCGTATACTCAGAAAAACTGAGGGTCAATAGCGTGTGCAAGCTATTAAATTAATTATAAAGGGATGATATGCATTTAATTTATTTGAAATTGATATAGTACGACACTGGTCCCATTTTCTAAAAGTTTATTTTTGAACTTGTGCTTTATTTATTTTGGCTTAGGAATTTTTATCTCAAATCAATCTAATTTTGATTTTACGAAAATTTTAAATGAAAATGGATGTTCTCAAAGGTTGTTGATAAATATAAAAAAAAACTTTTGAAAAAAGAACTTTGGTGAGAATGTTTTTTCTCTTCGGCCGAAGATCGTGCAATCAAAAATTGATTCTTTACAAGGAATGTTCAAAAATTAAAACTCACTAGGTTGCTGAAAAGAAAATTAAAAACCCTTTAAAATTCGGTATCACATGTCCCATCTAACCTGGAGTAAAGCCAAATATACATAAAACTAGAAAAACTAAAAAAACTTAATTTACCTAACCTGTGCGAGAACAATGAGATAAATTTAAATGGGTTCAGGCCGGACAGGTTAGGTAAATTGGTTAAGAATTTTTTTATTTTCTCATTTTAATATATATTTTTTTGCAAAGCAACCCTCGACGGATTCAGGCCGCACAGGTTAGATGAATTAATTCAGTTTTTATATAAAAAAAAACTTAATTAATTTACCTAACCTGTCTGAGAGCAATCAGTAAAATTTAAATTCTCCAGGTCGCACAGGTTAGGTAAATTAGTTATTTTTATTTTTCACATTTTTTTTTTTGTAAAACAACCTTCGATGGTCCCAGGTTGCACAGGTTAGGTGAATTACTTGTTCTTTAAATGAGCCAGCTATTTTTTGAGAATATCGAAAAATTTGGCGATATACGCTGAGTTTCAAAATAAAGTTATATTATTTGTTTGTGTACTTACATCAAATTAAACCAAACAACTGGCGCGATGTCATAAAAAATTCTCAATCAAAACGAAAAACTTTCAAGCGTTATCAGAAAAAGCACGCTTTAAAGCTTATAAAGGAGCAGAATAGGGTATTTAGTTAAACGAAGCTTTAAAGTGTACTTTTTCAATAAATTTGTTTTATGAAATCGATATAACATTTAAAGTGTCCTTTTAATATTGAAGTTTCCTTTAATTTGATTATGAAATTGGCCCTTAGTAAGAATTATTTTGTTAAGTATATCACAATGAGCTCCACTACTCAGATTGTTAGTGAAATCTTCTTCAGGGACCCTGTGAATCTCATTATACCTAATTTCAAAAAACTCAAAGAATATTTACACAAGGTCCATGATAATGAAGAAGCAGCAGATTAGTAACTTTCTTATGTAAACATATCACGATTTAGCCAAACTTGTCTATCTGAAAGTAGGTATTAAACTTGTATTAAGCGACATATAGGGTAAAGGTAGTTTTTTTTTACTGAAAGTCAATCGGACTGCCACCGAAGTGTAAAAAAAACAAAAAATAAGATTATTTCCAAATTAATTTATAAAAATAATCTAAATAATTTTTTTAAGCACCCTGTATCTGACTTTTAGTCTAAATAGATAAATTTAGCTACATTTTCATAGTTTTATGTAAATAATCTGTTGCTGTTCCGTGTCCCTTTCCTTTGGAGACACAATGTATTTTTAATTTTAGAAATTTAACGATGCCGAAAACTCCCTCTAACAAAATTATATAAAGATCAAAGTGATTTTGTTTTCTTTTTATTTTTTAAAATTTTTGACCATTTTCAGATGAATTTTGTACCAAGTTTAAAGTAATTCAAAGTTCAAAAGTTCTTTGAGCTACAAAAAAGACACACAGAAACACGTGCATTCATGGCGCCCAATCCCCAGAACCACTTCTTGTTGCTGGCCGCCGCGTCTCCATGACCAAAAAGAAAGCATGCAAAGGATAGAAGAGTATACGCTTGGATTTTGAATTAAAAATAATGCATTTTTATAATGGAATTGTGGCAATTCTAATGCATCAAATTAATTGAAATTTTAGAAGCATATTAAGAACATACAAATAAAGTCTGCTCTTCTATCGTTTTTTTGATATTTATGAAAATATACGCGTAATAATTTTTTGAAGTTGGACGAGTTCAAGCCGATTTAAATTTTTTTAATGTGTCTTCTATTTATTTTTTGAAAATTTTGAATGAAGAGCAATCTAAGTTTCAGTTGTTTATATAACATTTATTTTTTTCAATAACATCCGAATACTAGATTAGTTACAATTCCTTAATAAAAATCCTTAAAATTTAAGCCTATTTTCAAAAGTAAGAATCCCCTTAAAGTTTTTCCTCCGGTCTCCGCCCATGAACAAATTCGAAGACCACTTAATTACCTATTGTTAATATGTAAAATAAACACAAACGTCCATCTTGCGGAAAGTTTTTTGTTAATTTTTAAATGTTCATGCAATGACCACTTGTGCATTAAGGAAAGTACATAGCGTCCTACAATCATATTTTGTTTGAACTTATTTATTTCAATACGCTTTTTAATTATTAAACGATTAGGTATTATTATAGTAATTACCATTAACGACGTAAAATTTCATCCAGGCGCCGTTTTGGAAATTTCATAATGCCTTGCTATTTTAAACTCGATTACTATTAATGATAAGATTTTGGTGATCGATTTCTATTTAATCCTTGATATTTACTATTTTAAATAGCTATCAATCACAGACTAATACATTTAATCCCTAAGTGTCACACTCAGTCCTTCACGTGAAGCAACATGTAGCATCCATATTTGTTGCATGCCACATGTTGGCCATTGGGGCACAGACAGATGCGCCTTTAAAATTGCACAATCCCTTTTATTGTAGTGGCGCCATCTCATTCGTATTGAGTTTGTCCGGATTTGTTGAATAGCCCTCGTACACTAAAGTGTAGAAAATTAAATTTTTGAGGTCATTTCATTCATGAATCCTCCTAAAAAGATCCAATATCAGCATGTGACTCATTAAATTACAGTCTAGTCTAGTAAGTAGGGCCCGATTACAATTAGAAGAACACCGCTACGTCATAACCATTACTTCGATTACATATTATTTATAACTATCAATAAATAAAAAATAAGTAAGTTGTTAGATATGTATAATACAATATTTCCTATATTCCTATAATATTAACACTCCACTAAACCCCCAGTAGGCGGCGATAATCAATTAATTACTTTGCCAAATGATGACGTACTCTTGTAGTTTTTAAAATTATGTATTTACCAAGAAGTAATTACTCAAAAATTGTATTTCTAAAAACTAATCAGTGAAAAATCTATTTTATGTAGGTGCGTATCTTATATTATTATTAAATAAAAAACAATGTCTATAATGGTATGTAACGAACAATAAATCCTGTCACAACTAATACTAAAAAAAGTAGGACGCATTCAAGGTTATTGCAACCTGGAGCGATTCGTTTGAGTCGGGGTCCAGCCTCTTTTTCGTGTTTATAATAGCCAAGATCAAGGTCAGCATCCCAAGTTTCGCTTTATAATAGTCCAATTTCTATAATAAAATAACAGACACTAAATTTTTAAAAGGCTATAAAACTGGATTGGTAGAATAAAGAGAGCTGTCTTTGTTAAAAAACGTATACAAAATTCAAGCTTTTAATAAAAGGGAAGAAAAAATATTAACGTGATTTGATTTTCTTTCGTGTTTGTGGAACAATACTCTTCTATTAAAAAAATGGAATGAAACGAAAATATATTACCATTTTGAAATGTAAAACGAAGATAGAAAAAATGCCAAGCTGAAGTGTGCACCGTTAGATGTGGTCAAATGACCACAAGTGCCGCCGAAAATACAAATTTTTGATAATTTGACATAATCTGCAAAATATTCCGCTTTAGAACAAAAAGAACCAAATAAATCGTGTATCAAAAATTTTACATTTCAAAACAACTCAACAACCAATCAAAGTCCGTGATTTTCTAGAAAATTGTAAGCCTGGGTAATGCATGACGTCCAAAATAATTTAATATAGCAAGTACGACAACTAGACAGTGCTACCCTGCGACTATCAAATATTTTTTTGTGAGTCCTGTAAACTCAACTACTGTGATTCAAAATCACATTTCTTTAAGTTTCATAATTAACCTAAAGTAATCAATAAATTATGCCATGAAACAGTTAAAAAGGACTTAACTTCCTTGGGAGGTATACTATGTGTGGCCATCAACTTATCGCATGACAATCATATGATCGCAACTAGGTAGGTAATTTTCTAGTAGTTTCTAGTTTTACTCACACTGCAACAAATGACGTACGTACCTGCCTACTTTGTATTCATTAAATAAAAGTAGGGAACTCCAAATCAGTCATGTGAAAACGTAAATTAATGTTAAACACATCTACGTAAAAGAAAATCTCCGTAAATTATTAACAACTATTTCTATGTAAAGGAATGACTAGTATTTTCCGCCAAATTGCAGTGGCTAGCGTGACGATCAGGTTAAAGTGAAATAAATGAAATTAACCATAAACCGCGATAAAAACATTATTTTGGCAAAATTGAATGTTTTTTTTATTGTTTACTTAATCTGATTTAATTATTTTATCAGTATTACACATTTTATTCTCTCATTTTTAAAATCATCCACTGTTTTGACAAAAAAATCATCATTTTCAATTTTCAAATGAAAACACAAAGGTCTGGACAAATGCCAGAAGTTTTAATTATGATATTTCAATAGATTTAAAGCATGTTTGTTAAATGCAATAGTCACTGCCAATGCAAAACGTTACATGGTCACAACTCGTCCATGTCAGGTGCTATGAATCACATTTTACGTTTAAACAACTCTCTATACATCTATTTTAAATTCCCATAGTTAAATAGTTGCAAACGCTTCTGGCTAAATATCAAAAGCTAACATGACGTGCCACATGGGCAGGTACCTTCTATATATATACATATACAGTGTTGTCTATGTTTCCAGAAATTATTTTTAAAGAATAAATTTGTAATATAAAGTGTGTTTCAATTGTATATTAGTTCATAAATGCGTTTCCAGGATATATTTACAGTTTGATAGTTACTTCTCTTCCTTTAACAAATAAGGGACATTAGAAACTATTTTACATTAGACTTGTTGATGATGTTATCAACCTAATAAAAATGTTGCTAATAGTAATAATAATGGGGCAAAAACCAAAACATTTGAATTTATTCAAACTTGAACTGATATATCAATTAATTTTATCATCACCTGAATCAGAAAAATCCATAAGTCCCTTTAAATAATGATTTATAAAACTAGTTAATAAATAAGGTGAACACACAATGTACCAACTTATTTAAAATATTTTCTATATCTTAGTTTGTGTAAATACCTGCTACCCTAATTTTTAAAAGGTTTTCATCCTATAAAGTTTCATTTTTAGGACTTAGGGTATTTCTGATTAAGCTGACATTATGTTTGAAAAGTAACAAGATGAAAATAAAATCAATTTCTATTTTTAACATTCATTTCAAGAAAATGTCTACTAAGCAGAATGTGTAAATCTAAATATTTTAATTCAATCCAAACATTGAATAAAGTAAAGAAACATTTTTTGTTTATTTTAGATAACCCTGTTATATATAAACGCGCCTGACCCAATTTCACCAAATTTCTAATACCCATTGGTTAATAACAAACTTCCTTGCAATGACTCATCACATCAGCTTATTATCTGAAGAATGGAAGTTTAGCAAGAGAAGCTAGTTAGTGGTGAGTTTGCAGTTGTTGGCCTGCACATAAAGTATTTATTGTTATGGACATTTAACCCCCAAATTCGTTAAAGTTGGAGTTCTGGAAGTGTATGAAGGATGTCCAGAATTTAGATGAACATGGCGTTTGATATGTCGACTTTAAAGCCATGTTCAGTGGTATTAAACATGTTTCAATTCAATATTAACTGCAAATCTGTTTAATAATGAATTCAGAAGATATATCCAGTACCTGGATGTCACCTACAGATACTAGAGACATATACTCCAATATATGTGAGAAAACTACTTCAACAAAGATTCAAAAACAAAATGAAAAGTATATATAAGAATTTTTTGAACCTTTCTGGGGAAATGTTGAAGCTTGGTAACTAGGTCCTTGCATATCAAAGAATTTTAGGACATAATCTAGTTTGACCTCTTTTCACTTATATTATAAACTATTTTTACGTCTTACACTGTTGTCAAGTTGCACAAAAAGTTTACTATTCTATTATTTAGTGTCAAATATGGCAGAAATTAATTTCTAGTAATTTTATTTGTCCTAACAATATTTTGTAATATAACTACTGACGTTTTACCCATTCAGCCCCCCTATTCACTCAATTTCACATAAAATTGTTAATATTAAATGAAAAAATGGCATTTACAATAACAGGGATATCTACAAGTATGTATGCTTAGTTTTTCATAATTGAAAAGAGGTCAAATTAGATATTTACCATTTGGGGCTAGTTTTTGAGCCTTTCTTAAAGTGTGAATCAACCTTAATTCTTCTTACTAATAACCTGTAATTTTCTATAATAGTTCTTAATTTATTTTATTTATTTAAAATGACTATACAAGATATCAAGTCATTTAATTTACTAGAAATGTAAATATCACAGGTACCTACTTATACTTACTAAAAACAATAATCAGTTAAAAAAGTATCAGAAGTATATCGTTGGGTTACTGCCAAAACAAGATAAGTACATTTTTCTTCATTTTTGAGTCGTGTCTAAACTATGTACTGACAGAACCAGATAATTGTATTAACTGCTGGTATACGTTGATACGCATGTGCACTTAAAAGATTAAGTGCATTAAAAGAATTATATTGACGGCTAAAACAAGACAAGTGCATTTATGTTAGGTTTAAAAATTATTTTAATTTTACTTTGTGTATAAGGAAATACATGTTTTGGGTAAAGATCATCCTTTAAATGCAAATGAAATTAAAATCACAAAAGCGTACAAAAGAGGTAGGTCCATTTTGGTTAAGAAAAAACAAGACCTACTGAAATTGTGTTAAAGTGATGTTATCCCTGTAGATTACCATCAATATTACAAATCCTTGCATACCTCTGAAGAGGTAAAAGATTTAGTTCCAGATCCAGCAGCTAAAGATTCTGATATAGAACTTCCTTTAGAAGAGCAGGATAAATGAAACAGGAACAGGTACTCATACATCCAAAAGAAGATAAGTGCACAAAAAAGTGCTTTTTCTGCTAAATATTTTGGTAGTTTTTAAGTTTTATAATAAATTTTTCTAGTGTTTAATATCCAATTGTATTAAAATTCAGTTCCTAAGTAAAAACGGAGTTTTTCTTTTATAGGTAAGTACCTGATTTTCCTCAAATGTTAAAGTTTAAACATTAATAACTTAAAACTATAAAAATGTAACTTGATTTAGCAGTAATTATACATATACATCTAAGAAATCTTTTAAAATGCAAGAGCCTATTTAATATTCATACTGACTCACAAGTTTCTAAACTATTGGGATATAAAATTAGGAAAGTAAACATCCAAAACACATTCCAATATATTGATGGCTCAATCAAAAACCACCACAAATAAAAATACAAAGAAAATTACATTTTTGGTTTAATGAATTCAAAATATCATTGAGATTTTATTTTAAATACTGCCACAAATCAAAATATTCTTAGATATGCCCAAATATGATTTAAAATCCAGCTACAAACTGTATCTAAAACTGCCTCAATTCGGGTTATTTTCTGCAAAAATACCCAATTTTTTTTACAAACTATGTCGTAGCTTTTAAATAAAATATAAAGATTTTACGCCAAAAACAAAATAATGATTATAGAGGCTTACAAAATTTTAAAATGAAATTTCTCAAAACAATAGTGGCAGTATTTGATTGAGCCATCGATATATCTGCATCTAAAATGGATTTACCTCAAATAAGTATTTCTTGTAGAATTTGGAATACATATATTTGGTATAAAATAAAAATATTATCAGTGTAAAAACAAGCTGCATATTTTGCTTTTTATTGACAGAGACATAATAAATAGGTATTTAAGTATAATTATAAATGAAATATTTATAAATATACTTGTAACTGTAAGTACAGCTGTTAGGTATTGAAAAAAAAAAACAGAAACTTCTTATATTATCTTGGCTTTTTTAAATGTCAGATGTAATTTTAATGAATGATGGTGCTATCAAATGAACTAAAGTAAAGGACTAATTTTACTGAGCACTAATTTTGTTAATAAAAAAAATGGGTAAACAAAGATATATCTACAATGTGTATACTTTTTATAAATTAAAAGATTCAAACTTGTATGTAAACTATTTATCTACTAGAATATAGTAAGTAGTTGGTAATTATATGACACTGCCCACAATAATTGGATGACCAAAAAGGGGATAAAAAGACAAAGTAATGATTAGTAATGTTAACATTTTACTTTACATGAGGGAGTGTCCTTTTGAAAAGAACAAATTAATGATTATTTGCTTCATTCCATAAGGCAAAAATTGTAATTTTATATGTATTCTTGTGCTTTCCAGATCAAAATTTGTGTATAAATATTACCTATAGCATGGAATACACATGTGATTCATATAATATGTCCAATAACAGGCAATCATTTGAACACAATAATGGGTTGACCAAAAAAGCGATAAAATACATTTTTATAATAGATACTTTTTTAAGGTTCTAAGGTTGCCAATAAAGTATCTATGATTAGTAATGTTAACCTAACAATTTAACAACCAGAAAAAGGGCAAATTTACTTTGCATCTGTTGTCAGGGATTGCACTTTTAAAAGCGATTAATTTCCCTATTCAATAAGACAAAAACTGTAATTTTATATGTATCCATGTACTTTTCAGTTTAATATTTGTATTATATGATAAATTATAGACAAGTAATTTGTAGAATATGTTAATATAAGACAATATATCATTGAAAATCTATTAAAACTAGATAAGTGTGTTTTAGAAAAAAAATTCTATAATTATTTTGATAATGCCTGCACAAGTTATACTCAAATGTTATCTATTTATATAGTGGAATAAATAACATAAAGCTCATTTATCTCTAATAATAACAGTAAGGTCCGAGGTCATTTTAAAAAATTATATCAAAATTTTGATTTCAAGTGTACAATGAAACAAAACCGAGATAAGTACAAATTTTGGGCGGGCTATTAGTAGATTAGAAGGTTGCTATGAATTATTTCACAAAATAAAATGAACCTAGTGACACTTAACACATTTTATTGTCAAGATAAATGGAATATGACCACATGATTTGAATGAAGGACGAATTTATAAATATACAAAAATATTGTTGCAGGAAGCACTGGATGATCTCCCACAGTAGTAGGCATATTTTTAGAAAAAACTTTTTTTAATAATGAAAGGCAACTGTAAACACGTTATTTTTAAATAAACCTGCTACGATTAAAAATAATCATAAATGCAAGATCAACCTCCCACATAGCAAACAAAACATTAATTGGAACAACGAAGTTTTTAATAGAAAATACTTGAGTAACGGCTAACGTTCTACTCATATTCTCTGGTAAAAACACTTGCTTGAGAAGTACCGTTGTGACTTTCATATTGCAAAACAACTTTGTTAAAAAAAAGAAACGAAAAAAGTTTTAACGCAGGAGTCTTTGTTTTATTTGTAATTTCTGATAGTATGTTCGAGTCGATTTTCAAGAAAATAAGGTGACCAATTGTTAACTTACGTTTCCACGACCAGAGGTTAACGGCCAGGTATATAATACGGGTTCAGCCCCAGCGGGAGAATGCAGCTTTAACTCCATTATCCCAAATTACGTGATGTTAGCTAAATGAGTAATCGTCACTTAAAATTTTCACCATTTGAACTATTATTTCTACTACATAACACTTCAAACACACATTTTCACGAGAGTTTATAGATCTCACATAGCAAAACACGCCATCGTTCAGCGTACACCTTGCGCGCGCAGTTTCTAATGCAGTTGTACCACCCTAACATTCTTCGATATCCATTCCTTTTTGACAATTTACAGAACGCATTGCATTTTCGTTATGCGCGTTTGCCAGACTCGAATTTTTTCAGCAGACACTCGATAAAACTTCTATAACGTTCATATAAAATTGAAATTATTATGGGTGAAAAGCCGATGCGCAAGAAGCTAAACTTTGAAGCCGGTATCCAATAATAAATTTTATTACATAAATACAATCACAGCGCATAAATTGTATGGATACAAAGAACTTTCAAGGCATTGCCGACTAAAAGGACAACTAAGTAGACTGAGAGTAGTAGAGGATAGTGAGTGCAGATTCTGTGAGGAGGAGGACGAAACCTCCATTAACATCCTAACTAAATGTGTAGCACTCCAGAACCCAACGGCACTATATCTAGGAGGATATCAAATAGAAGCGGGAGATTTACCTAACTTGAAGCCACTTTAAATCCTACACTTCCTTGAGAAAATAGGATTGGAAGGGTCGTTATAGGCATTGAGACATTTCCTTAGTGCATTGGTGACAGAAGGGGGTACAATAGATCTTTTAGGTCGCAGTGTATTAACACCCCATATTCTCAACATAACATAACATAAGTACTTTCAAATGATACATTCATCGTTCATTTGGGTAACTCTGACTGTGGCCTTTGATCTTGTCATAACATTTATATGGATATGACAAAGGCATTTGATCAGCTTGACCACAATATTTTGGTAAAAAAACTAGCCTCTTTTGGACTTTCAAACAATCTTATTCGGCTTCTCGACAACAGAACACAATACGTTCAATTAAATGGGTTTAAGTCTGATCAGTATTCTGCAACCTCCGGTGTTCCTCAGGGATCAAATCTAGGCCCGTTTCTGTTTAACATTTTCGTGAATGACATGGTGGATGTAGTTGTTGATGTATCAGCAGTAGTTTAATTTATGTAGACAAAACATCCAGATTTCAATTGCCAGTAAGCTATCGTCTATCTTGTCGATTATGGTGGATGGGATTGTCCGTACCACAAAAAATGTTTCTAGAGTAGACCACGGAAAAAACTACTGTATGAGCGTATGATTTTGGTTATTCTTAAATTAATCCAAAGGCGTTCGTGGTTATCACGTCAAATGGTCCCTTTGGAAACATTTTTTTGTGGATCACTTGAAGTTCCCAAGTATACATTTAGAAATGCCATTCTCGATGCCTACGATACTTCTATCATCATTGTAACGATGATAGATCAGTGATATTGGAAAATGCCCTTATTTATTTTTGGCAATGCAAAAGTTGGTAGGTATAGAGACTTTTTTAATCAAATTTGGGTTTGCAAAAAAGTTTCCAAATAAAATAAATTCCGATTAGATAATATTCACAAAATCAAATTGAACTCGCTTCTAAAATAATAATCACAAAATTGGTAATATTCACAAATTTAGTTAAATGAGTCTAAATGTAACTAAACAAATAAATGTAATATGAAGTGATCCACAAGAAACGTTTCTAAATGGTAATTAGAAAAATTCACGCATGTCAGAGCGGATAATTCTTCTTTTTAAGTGTCCGTTTAAATTTAATTTAGAGCCGTGTGTATTTATCACGGACATGACTCGTATCTGTTTTTGTCGGTCATGGCATACTGTAGAAACATTTTTTATGGATCACTATTATAACTAATTATCAGTTATGACTTGACAAAAGAGATATGAGTTTGATTTGCAAAGTAAGGTTTTGATCAGATGAAATCGCAATAGAACGTGGCAACGCTGTAAGTATCGAGCTATATTGGACATAGGTTATCAAAATTATCTTCCACACGTAGGCCTCTTGCCTTGCATTTCATTTCCTATTTATATTGTTCTATGCAACCTATGCAATAACTATCATGCACTTTGTTCTTGCATCTGTGTATAATGCAATGGCATAATTTTGTCTAATATTTTTCCTTTCTGCTGTTTAGGCCAAGGTCTCTTTACTTAATATTGTACTTGTAAGGTAGGAACTTTTGTTTTGGCACTAATGCTAGATAGAGTTCAACGAACGCATTAATTCTGTTTTTTATAGGACAGAAATTTTGTAAATGTTACTTTCCCGTATTAGCTGACGCTGCCTACGCATTTTATTCGGATTATGAAATTGTTTAGATTACGAAAAATGCGTAGTTGAGTTTCTGTTCGTTTAAAACAAAATTTAAAGACCATATAGGTATAGGTAGTAGGTACCTACTTATACCTATAGATAATTATTTAAATACAATGCGCTAGTACCTTTCATTTGTATTTTAACCTATAATATGTATTTTTATATATAGACAGGGTAATCTCACAAACTATTTTTTAATTTCTGTCTGTCTATTTCTAAGTAGGTAAGAAGATGGTAGGAATAAGTTAATGACCGACGCTAATGAGCACGATACATACCCTTACCCCTTACCAAAAAATTTAACAACAGAAAGTGGATGGTACCTAGATGAATTTAGAACCATGGAGGAAAGAACTCGAGAGTTTTAAATCAAATCCAAAAGCCAAAAGACGGCATAGTCTAACTAGGTATATGTTAAGGCACCAGGCGCGGATACAAGGGGGTAAAAGGGTAATTACCCCCTAGAGATGCTCGAAGAAATAGTGAAATTTATTGAACTGTAACCTCGAGATTTTACGGGAAGATGACGGCGATGAATAAAATAATTTACCCCTCCGAGAAATTTTCACAGATCTGCGACAGGCGCCGGCTTTTATTTACCTCCGGTGGGGCTGTACCGTGACTTCTTTCGCCCTAGTCCAATTAATATATGTATTCTATTTTTTCGTTGGTTAAAAATAAAGGTCCTCATCTCTCCGAAGTCCAATTATGTATTCATTTTCTTCTAATTTGCCACTAAGCAACAACGGGAAGAATATCGACTTATTTTAAATGTATTTTTTCACATTTACGTTTCTCCGTGGGGCCTGCCTCCCCGGGATTATTTCCGAAGGAGGCCCTGGCCTCCGAGACCCCCGTAGTCGGCGCCTATAAATATATACTGTCGACAACAACCGCACATTGCGGTCCGTCCATTTCCATATCTCATCTCGCGCTCATTTGATAGAGCGCTTGAGAACTATACTAAGTCGCAGCTATTGGGATTTTACCTTTTCACTGGTCATATAGTACTCTGATAGTTTTCAACATATTTTTGAAAAACCCAAACTGACCTAATAAGTATCTTCGGGATGGATGTAGTATATCCATTTCTACTCCAGAATGCTAAGGATGTATTAATGATCTGTGCAAAATCTTTAGAGCATGCATTGGCTGGAGATACCTACATCCCGGCAACATGGCAAATGGTGAAAGCAATCTACCTTATTTAAAGTAGGTAGAGTCACAGAATAAACGCCAAAGTCATATCGCCCTATAAGCCTATCATCCCTGATAGGTATCAGGGATGAGATATTAGAAAATAAATCCGTCTGGGCATAATTTGTGATATTATATGTGTCTTGAGAATATTGAGAGCTTTAAATTTGTGTAACGATAAGGCAGTACTCTACAGAGACGTTTAAGAAAAAAGGTGGGAAATCATCTCATTTAAAAACTACTAGATATTTATTAAAACAAAAAGCAGTAAATTTTCATCGATTTAATACAGAATGGCACGGAAATGTTTTTTTTTTAATTTCGTTTAAACATTTTCAAAATAAATTCTTTTCACAAAAATCGGACTAAAAATAAAGACTCGAATGAATTATAAATTTTGAAGCGTTCGGTTTGCGAAAAGAAGGAAGCTATAGATATAAAGTTGTAGAGGTACTATTGCAGTTCTCCCACTAATTTTTAATTTGAACAAGCAAGTTTTTATGAAAATTGTATTGTAGTATTTCAATAAGTTTAAATGTCCAAAACCAAAAGAAACGGCTAGTAAATTTGCTTGACCCTATATTAGTTACACATTACACTGCACTGGTCTTGTTTTCGTAAACGTCAAAGTGAAAACGTCAAAACATAAGTTGAGGTTAGTTTTCTTACAACTGTCATGTAAAATGCTGTAAAATGGATTCAAAATACGTTGTTCCAATAATATCTCAAAACTTATACAAACACGAAACTATTGTACAAATTGCTGAAGTCCTAGAACATCTAACACAAGTCAGCGAAGGTATATTTGCTCAAATAAATAGGAGGATAGAAATTAACAAGGTGAAACTATCAGGTATATCGGAAAGGGTGGATTCAGTGAATAGGAAAATAAATAAACTCAGAGGTGCCAAAAAAGCAACACAAGTATTCTCCAGTAGCAAATACCCAGCTAGTGATATATACAAAGAATATACGTCAATATTTCACGATAGTTCTCCTATAGAAATAAAACGGCACCCTGTTAAACTCAAAAATGCCCCACCAACACAAGGACCTTTAGAAAAATTGCATTTTTATCATGTAAATATTCATAAAAATAGTGACAGTAAACTAAATGGTTTAGGTGATAAAACTCCACAAAGTATAGAGTTTGTCAATGATTTACTCTTGTACAATTCAGGGAAGAACTTGTACAAAGATTTTGTGATGTCCCATGCCTTAAATACACCACAGCAAATAAGAATTGATGAGGAACATGAGTCTGAAATAGGTGTGTATTATACATATTCTGGGTTATAATATAGGTATGAGTTTCAGTAATAATATGTTAAATAATTTTTGTGTGATATCTTTATTGTTACTCAATTTCTTATGTTACAGTTATATTACTTTATAACTTTATTAAAATTCTATATTTTAGATAAAAGTTATTTTGTATTATTAGGTGCTGCCCCACAATCAATAAGTGAGAGATCTACACAATCAAAAGCTCATAAACAAAGCTATTTCTACAGCCCCCAAATAGGGGAAGTGCCTGCCTTAGATGTGCCATTAGATCTACCTGACCTTCCAGGAATTGCAAATGATCTACACTACAATAATGATATAAGTTCAAGTATAGCCCCATCAGCTGATATAACTCCGTCCATATTAGAGCTAGATTTACAAACTAGCCAAAATCTACCAAATATTCCTTTAGATGAGGATAATGAAGATGTACAGAATATTTCTATTGCTGAGTTACCTCCTGTAACAGAGATTCATCATATTGATCTACCTAGTCCTCCAAAAGAGATTAAAAATACTGAAAATGAGAGACCTGCTGAAATTAAAGTTAAAGAGGAACCCAGAAAGACAGTGGAAAAGGTTCCTGAAAATGTACCTCTTGTGGCTCCTGTGGATGATCTTAGATCTAGTTTGATGGAAGCTATAAGAAATGCTGGAGGTAGTGGGAAAGCTAAATTAAGATCAGCAAATGAAAATAAAGAAAATGCCAAAGTGTCTCAGGTAAATCTATGTCATGTCCAAGTTGACTATAATTTGTTTAATTTTTATTTGATCATCAGTGCTAATTTGGTTTCAATAATCTCTAATTCACCTCTTTTCATGTTTTTCTGGAAATGTTGAATATTCAAATTTGGTTATGCCAAAGTTACCTGGCAGTTTTTCAAACATTATTTTATTGCATTGAAATTTGATTGATCACAGTTTCAGGTGATTATCACTCTACACTAACATGAATAGATAACTATCAAAATTAGATTTTTGAAATTATATTAGTTCATAAATTTTTGATAAAAATTTTATATTTTAGGGTGGTGATTTAATGGCGGATTTACACAACAAACTTTTTATGAGAAGGAAAGGAATTTCTGGAGCCAAACAGTCTCAAGATAACCATAGCGATGCAGATTCAGCTATGTCAAGAATATCCTCCATGATACCCCCACCAGAACCGAAAAATGATCAAGAATCTACTTCTGATGAAGAAGAGTGGGATGAATAAAAACAAAAAATGCTAGATGAGAATTTTATAACATAATAATTTTTTATTTTAAATTGTACAGTTTATTTATGAGATATTTTTAGAAATATTTTTATATATACAGTTTGCTTTATTTTGAAAATTTGTTCAATTGCTACATTCAATCATGCAGCTTTTTACAATCTACATATTTGCCCCGTGATATTATAATATATAAGATAGACTTAAGAATTTAAACAAGAACATTCCTATAAATAACTTCTAGTTGCTTTTGAAAAATATACCAATAAAAACTATGAATTAATTAACATTGTTTGTGGTATTGATAAATTTTGCATGCATTTTGTTATATTGCTAAAGGAAAAATGAAATGATTTTGCATACAAATGGGAATCAAACATTATTTGCTTAGAATTTAAATTAGTTTTGTCTACATTGTGACTTTTAGCTCAAATAACACATGTTTTTATGAAATGACTTTCACAAAGATAAAACAAGTGCTGTGTGGGTACCAAGGATGTTAAAAAAATTAAATTTAATTAAAAAAATATGTAATAAGTGTAAAGACGCCTTTTTTGACGAATGTGAATAT